AAAACTATTCCCAGTGACACTGAGAACAGACAGGCCCATTAAAATGTTATCTATTGTTCCCACACTGAGCTACATGGGCATGATGGTGGTTGGTTACTAAATACTAAACTACAGCTAATGTAGATCTAGACCTTGATCTAGATTCTAGATCTTAGATTCTAGATCTAACTAAACCAAAGTAGATTCTGGTGTGAGTGGAAGAATTTTTTAAAAAGAAATAGGAAGAATCATTCTATAGTTGCTTGTTATTCAGTCGTAATTTAAAAGGTCGTATAGATCTAGATCTACATGCGGATTTTGGAGACCACGGTACAGGACAGATATAAATCCTTCCAGATTCTTCTTTCTTCTAGATTTAGATCTAGATCTATTTTACGGTCAAGTCTAAGCCCTAAGTAAGAGAAGAGAACAAAAGTACATGTACTGAACTGAAGTGAGAAGAGAGTCTACAGTGCAAAGACTGTTTTATGCCAAAGAGTTCCGTTGTCACTGGGAACAGTTTCTGTATCTATCCCCAGTGTCACTGGGAATAGTCACTTCGAATGTTAATTTATTGGAAGCAGGGCAATTCCACGGCAACTAAAAACGTCACAGAATGTTCATAAAGTACATGGTTTTGGGGTTGTTGTTTTTTTTATGACACCATTAAATAATATTATGATTCTTACTATTATGTCTTTCAAATTATGATCTGATCTTTTAAAGTTGAAAGGAATTAACTGATGTTGAACTACAGTGTTATCATTATAAGAAAGTATTGTCCAAATGTTCCGTCAGTTACCTTGTAGTAGCCTAGTACGTTTTTTTTGGGTTTTTTTGTTATTGTTTTCTTGGAAGAAGAGAGGAAAAGGTGGAAGAAAAAGAGGAGGAGGAAAAGAGGAGGAGTGTGACATAACCCACCTAGGAAAATAAAAGGTTAGACTTATACTTATTTGATCGCAGTAAAACAAAAATATAGGAATAACATGATGCATAGAACTGAGTAAAATCCAATTGTTCTAAACGTACCAGGTAAACAGCAACCAGCTAAACGCAGAGCTACAAATGAAAAGTAAATGGAGGGAGGGGGGAGGGGTTGTTTGTTGCTTTGGGGGGGTTGTCTTTTTTTTGTTTATGGGTGCTTTTATTTTTGCTGTTGTTTTGTTTTGTTTTTACCCCAGAGAAAGGTCACACTGACATTCGAGTAATGTACTATCTTCGTGTGTCACTTGAGCGGCCCATACACGATCAATTGGTAGCTTTTAAGAACAAGAAGGCTATCCCCATACATTTTGTTTTGAGAAAATCGAAGGAAAAGTTTTTGTCCCTTGTTCAGTTTCCTTAAAACAAAAAGAAAATATACACACCAATGAAACCAAACTTCTCCTATAGATAGAGCATTGCCCATTTTGGTGTAGGTCTAGATTTCTGAAGACCCACAAAATCTGGGTTAGCCCGCTTGTCCTTAAAAGTGACCAATTGCATTGTGCAAATTTAATTTTCAATACTAGGAATTGACAATTATATTGACTCTGTATGGGCGATATCGACGATTTGTGCAATTGTACAGAGTTAATCAAAATCAGTTTCATATGTGATTGCTCAAGTCTACTTGCTAGCACAATTTAATTGACCGTGTGCGGCGACCGTCAAATAAATTGTGCAATAATCATTTATCTTCCAGATTTCGTACCGTCATCATGTCTGGGGTGTCTGATAAAGAAGAAGACAGGACATTTCAGATGGGGTATATCGAGGTTTACAAAAGTTTACCAGCCCTATGGAAAATGAAGTGTGACGATTACAGGAACAGACAAAAGAAAGATGCAACGTATGGTGTATTGATTTAAAAATGACAGGAAAAGTGCCAACACTACACAAGAGAATATTTTTTTTAATTTAAAAAAAAATGTCTACAGAACAAATTATCGCAAGGAATTAAACAAAGTGTTTGACTCAAAAAAACCTGATGTAATTTTGTGTGTCCAAACTTTGAACACTGCAGAAACCATTCTTTTGACCATTTCAAACATGTTCTTAAATTGAGAAATCGTCTTCGTTTTCTGTAGCAAGAGCAACTGCCACAACGATAGCATATTCGAAATCATCCTTCTTACCTCAGCGGGTTGCAAGACCAAAAAGAGCCTGGTTTGCGCAATGGCCTCTCATTCAAAGGTCCCAGGTTCGAATCCGGGTAGCGACCGAAAAATATTCTTCTCTAAAATTGTCTCCTTCCAACTCCTTTCCTGCTCTCTAGCAATATTCTTTCGTCTGCTTTCGTCTCCTCTCTCTGCCCTCACCCCCTCTCCTCCTTTGCCCCATCCTCTGGGCTCCTGACTCTTTTTGCAGCCTTTCTACTGCTACCCATTGACTCCTACTTAGAGCTGTGTTTCTGCCTCACCCCTGATCTTCTGGTAGGAAAGATCTACACCTAGCCTTCTCGGACAAGGGGGAAAAATCTCGGAGGGCCCGTGTGCAAGTTGCGCACGTTAAGTATCCCTTGATGGTCTAAAATCGATAAGAATAAGCTTCGGCCGCCACCCGGGCAAAATTCAAAATTTCCTACCAACTAAAAGTATTAGGTGTGTCCCGCGCGCATGACCTTATGCAGTTGCGAGCGCCGTAAAACACTTACTGAAAAAAAACCCACTTTGTCCATAAAAGGACATTGTTAATCCCTCCTAGCCTGACTCGGCCCAGTGACAGAAATAAGCAATGTTTGACTCATGATAAGAGATATGTGCACAACTTGTACTTATTCATTATGGAAACCTTACTTATCAAATGAGTGTTTTGTGTGATGTGAAGTAGGTCTATGGCCTTTTAAACACTGAATTAACTTACTTACTTACTTACTTACTTACCTTCTTTGATGGAGTTAGCCTTCGACTTTAGGTCTCCATCTTTCTTAGACTGAGGACGAGAAACAATTAATAGAATGATAAAATGCAAGTTTACGACCAAGAGGAGACAGACTCCCACACACTCAGCACAATAAAAGGAAAGTGTTTATGTTGTTATTTTTTTGTTGGTTATCTCGCTTGTCGTGATTATCATGATGTCCCCCTTTGGACAGTTGAATAAACATAAATTTAAGACTTGAGTCGGCAACCAACTTTTTACCACCATTCCTAGCGCTTCGTTTTAGCCGCAGAGCGTGGTGTCTATTATACTGTCGATTGAGCTAAAGTGTTCTGCATCACAAACAGAAGTAGATCTATATCAGGTAGATCTAGGATGTTGTACCTAGTGCACATTGAAGACAACATGTTTCGTGAAATCTCCATAATCTGTCACAGCTTATTTCTTATTTTTTACGGCAGCATGGTCTTTCTTCATGTAGATCTAGATGCAAAATTAATTTACTATTTTGGTACATTTTGGTCAAACCTTCAATAATCGATTAGGTTTACTTATTTTTTTTTTTTTTTTTTTTTTTTTTTTTTGGGGGGGGGGGTTCGCCATTCAATACGTTTGATATAAATACACAATCAGATAGCTACTACGTAATGTGGGTTCAGATTTTGTTATTTTCGCGCGGAATGAGCAAGGCTTGTTATGGACTTCTTGATCGGATCGACATCGACGTAGCAAAGCAGAGGTCAGTTTGATATAGTGCGTATTGGCGCCGACCAGTTCCGAACCCACCATGCACTCGTCATATTCCTTTTGAGCAACGGGGTCCGATATTAGACTCGACAAATACAAGAAAAAGCTAATGAACAAGGAGAGACAGCGTAACTGAGAAAGTTTTGTTATAGTTTTCTCGAGCACAATTGATTTTCTTTTTCTGTATAATGCTAGTTACATAAAATTCATGCAATAGTAAAATGGGCGTTTTGTCTATTATCTTAGACCGGAGTCATTAAAGTCTTTTCAAAGTGAGATAACAGTGCCTAGAGAATGCCTCACAGGGACCGGACAAATATTTTGCTAAATAAATATACACTGATGTGGATGCAAGATAAGTTAGAATTAATCTTATACCAAGCAAGAGTGTAATACATTTGCTAGAAATTATGAAGTCTGAAACATTATTTTTTTAACTTTAATTAATCATTTTTAACGTCACTTTTTAAATACTTTACTTTCTCGATCCAGCGGCCTTTTGAGTTGGACCCCTTCGGTCTAATACTGTTTAGAAAAGCAGGTTTAATTTGAACTGTAGAGTTAAATTAAATAAGAAATTCCATTTGGTCACGGAGTTCTAAGCACTTAATTAATGCTAGCATAACGGCTGGCCAGACGAACTGAGCTTACGATGACTTTTATGAAGGACAGTCTACACTTTCTTTAATTAATCGAAATCCTTTTAACTAGTGTAAAGTGAAGTTAATCCCGTATCCGATCCGGTCATTGGGGATTGCCATTGTTGTAAAAGAGGGTTGAAGAACACAAAAATGTCTATAAAATATTCTCTTTAAAAAAACAACCCAACAATCCCATAATTTTGACCGAATTTCGACCTTCACGGGGTAGCCTTGTTCATACAGCAGCCAAACTTTGTAAAGGTCAGCAACATATCACTTGCAAAGACTTCCAACATTTTCTTTCATTTTATGTTTCTTTCTTTCGTTTATTTGGTTTGATTTTTCCGAGAATATTGGGGGTTTGGGGCACGGGGTTGGGGGATGCTAATTGAAGGGGTCATGCGAGAAAAAAGATGGTGATGTTTCATGCATACAGTTGCTCTTACAATATGCACACTTCCAGTCTTTACGAGTAGTTTGATAAGGAGATATTGTGTAATGTGGACATTTATCTATGAAACCCTTCAGTCTTAGGTATCCCTTAAACGCTGTGTAAACAGACTATTCGGTATGTGCAGTAAGACCTTACCTTGCCACCCTTTGCCGCTACCGCCAATTCCGTAAGGACGGAGAGAGTAACCACGAGGGCCACCGATATTTTTAGGTTCATGTTTGAGCCTGAGGAGGGAAGTAAACGTCATTATCATCATCATCATCATCATCATCATCATCATCATCATCATCATCATCATCATCATCATACAATGGTTAGAATCTGCGTGAGATATGTATGTGTCTGGGGAGTATAATTGTCCGTTACGTCATTTTATTAAAACAATTCTGCCTCGTCTAGAAAGACCTAAATGTTTCCATGGCCCCAACTTGAGCATGATAATTGTTGAGTTTATTTTACACTAATAATAATGGTTAACAACATAGTGCCTCCCATGAGAGACTTAAAATATAGCTTTACATTTTTCTAAAAGTTTCTCTGTAGAAGAATGTCCGATCTCCGTTGATCCCAAAGAGAATGGACAACGATTTCTTCGCCACAAGGTTCACAACCTCCTTTCCCCGGAAGCTTACATGGCTAGGTAGACGTGCAAACGCAACACTCTTTCCCCAATCAGCCAGGGACTGAATCCTCAACTATAATTTAACTATTTAAAGATTTAGTAGTATGGGTTTGGTGAGTAAGGTGAAACAAGCAGGAAGAATAGGACATAAAGGAAAAAGATGATCTGAGATATTTTTTTCCAAAGTGTAATGCCATGTCAATGGCAGCGGCCACTGCAGAAAAAATGGAGGCCTCAGGATGGAACCTTAACCTCCTCTGTTGAACGTTGTTTTAAAATCAACTTAGAGCCATAATGTGAAGATTTTCTGTGCGTCTGGGTAATTTTCTATGAGTCTTGTGTAAGCGGTTATTGATTGGATGTCTTTACATCTTAGCTTGATTTACACTCTTTGGTGAAAATGGTTAAATGGTATAGGTTTAACGCCCCTATCAACACTATTAGGTTATTTAAGAGACAGGAGCTCCGAGTGTAACGTCCATCTCCGAAAGGACTGAGCCATGTGGGACATTCGTGTAAAGTAAAGTGCCTCCTTTCTCAAGGACACAGCGTCGGACGGAGCTGAGGCTCGAACCCCAGAACACGCAATCTCAAGATTACGAGTCTGGTAGCCTAACCACTAGGCCACCGACGCAACCTCACTATATGGTCAGGTCTAGATATGCTGTATTGAGGTGCAACAGAGGGAGGTTGATAATAAGAAATTGGTTTAAATCTTTCTCTGAAAATGTCATGTTTACAAGGTCATCAAGGATTAAACATTTTTTTTTTTTTTTTTTTTTTTTTGCTTAATATTTTGATGCCTATGTGTCTTTTAAAAATACAGTCGTTGGCAGGGTTGTTGAGAGCTGACCTTTGCTAGGCTGTGTTGTGTAATGAACGTTTCTTTCTTCTAGTTTTGAGGGAAGGAACTTTCGCCTTGTCCTTGAGGTTATCCCCCCTGCGATGTGCAGTAAGGCCTGTGGCAACGTAGAGGCCTCTCTTCTGGAGTATGTCGTCTAACATTTTTGGAACATCTTTGGGTAAACCTCATCCTGTTTGTCTCATAGTATTATTTACTCTTATTATAAGCCTAAAGTTTGACCAGCTCCGTAGTGTTTGTTATCATAATAATATCAGAAAGAGAGAGAGAGAGAGAGAGAGAGAGAGAGAGAGAGAGAGAGAGAGAGAGAGAGAGAGATAAAGAGAGAGAGTGAGAGAGGAGAGAGAGAGAGAGAGAGAGAGAGAGAGAGAGAGAGAGAGGGGGGGGGGAGAGTGAGATCATCAATTTCAGAATTAGGTCACCGAAATGATGAAAAAAAATAAATTAACAGGACTGATCAATGTTTAGCTCTTAATTCATAATGGCATAGAATTACATGACTTCAAACTTATAAAACTGTATTTTTATGTCTAGTAATTCAACTTGTTCAATTTCAAAACGTATTAAATATTATTATGATTGAATAGTAAACTGCAGGCTAACCCTTTATAAATCTAAGTCTCTACAAAGCCTTTTTAAAACTAAAGTGCTGCAGAAAGTATTAATTCGGCATTTATATGACCTTATTGTGTTGCAAGTGCCGTAAAACTCTTACCAAAAAAAAAAAAAAGAAAGTATTAATTATTTTAAAAAGTCATAGATCTCATAGGCCTACATAATGTTAGAGTTACCATTCATTATTCCATTGAAGGAAGGGGTGTTTATGGGTTTAGGGCCACTCGTAACACTAGAAGGTTCTCTGATTTGATTATTCTGTTTGCTTGAATAAAGAGAAGCATATAAACACAATAATAGCTATTTAGATAGATAGAAAGCAATAACAGAGGGAAAGTAAGGGCGGTAGGACCTATCAGTGGCGTCCTGCAACAACAGTCTAGTAGCCTAACCACTAGATCTAGTCTTAGCAAAACTTCTTAATTAAGCAAAATTTGCAGCAAAAAGGTGCAAATAGCAAAATAACAGATCACATACACGTTGTTATAGTAACCATAATAGTATACGATGGGTGTGGATAAAATTTAGTATTTTGCGAAGTATAACCCTGCGTAACTGATGATGAAGAGACAGATAAGAAAACTAGCTTTGGTAATGTAGCAGTTTGGCGCTTTGACATCGCACTCAGGAGACCCGAGTTCGATTCCTCAGTGTGGGTTTATTTCAACTTATCAAGCATATCGGGGTGTTTTTGCAGGGTTGCTTTATCCCTTTCAGCTCGAGTGTTCCTTGACAGGAAGGGTCGAGGCTAATTTCTAAATTATCTAAATTTGTGTCGATGAGAGTGTAAAAATCCTTACATAAAAAACTGGACTTAATAGAAATAATGAAGATGCTCATTTTGATGGCTTAAAGGATTTGGATACCCGTTGAAATGTACTGACTATCAACATTTTCTTAAATTTATTTTTAGGTCTTTCTTTTCTTTTAAAAGTTGTCATCATGCTAGCTAGGTTCGTTTTCAAGGTGGGGCAGAGAGCAAAAGGCATTCCTGTAGAAATGAACGTCAGACTAAAAAATCCATCCAAAGCAAGCGAAAAATAAAAATAGATAAAGAGAAAATATCTTTGTCGAGCTTCTCGTCGATATAAAAAAGGCAAATTAATTCAATATCTATTAGTATAATCTTATTGATATATTATAATACAGTTATCAAAAACAAACATTTACTTACTGAAACATCGGCGTCAATGGTGTTATTTTTCGGCTCGAGACATATCGTACAAGATAATGAGTTCGATTCCCAAGTAAATATATAACTTTAACGAGCATCTACGTATACTTGTTTGGACGTTGTATCCAACACAGTTGGCCCTGACAGACATGGTCGCACCTTAACTATCTTGATTGTGACGACTATTCTATTTTAGAAACTTAAATAACTCAACACAAATTCTGAATGTTGTTTATGATTTATGCCGCTATCGTGGAAGTCTATTCTTTTTTTCTAAAGTATTCTTTTTGCGATGTGGGCCAGTGGCTTACTAGATTGTTGCGAAGAGAGCTGAAAACGATCGACTTAACCACTCACCGCAATGAACCAAGTGTTGATGAACTTCTAGGAGAGTCTCAGAGTTCCTTGTTCAACAGCTTCCAAAAGCGGAGGTGATCGCTTTACGATTCTCCGAATGAACGACCAAGATGTTCTAGGGCTTTATATTTACCACTGTGGTATCCATATGATGACAAACCTGCTCATTATAATTGCCCCAATTTAGTTGTTGACATCGATGTGTTTTAAACAAATTTTTAGTAACTGAGTTTTCTTACAGCTCCCTGTCTCGGAAATGATCTAGATTGTGTCCATGTGAACGAAAAACATCTACAATTAAATCCCAGATCCTGTATAATTATGAAAAGCTCGGGTCCTGAGAATGAATCAAATTATGTCCGTTGACTTTGCTTTGGTTACCAACGAGCTATCTTTAAAAAAAGGAGGGAAGGTTAATCCGCTGTCATCTAGAAGGGGTACAGTTACCCACTCTGGACACCATGTTTCTCTTTGACTCTATGTGACCAGATAGATAATTACAGTTGTTGATGACAGTGGGGCTTAGACAACAACATTGTAAAGTCGACAGGTTTTGGGATCATTTCCCACGATACCCGAGAACCCTAAAGAATGGATACCTGGTAGTTACGTGTGGACATGAACTTGAACAATGCTGATTTATTTGACATGACCTAGCTGATATTGCTGAAGAGTTTGGTTTTGCTCGGTTGTTTGTATGGCGGTTTATTGCTGTGGCTGTGTGTTTCTTTGTTTGTTGTTGCGTTTGTTTGTTTATTTGTTTGTTTGTTGTTTGTTTTTCTTTTGTTTTTGGTGGTTTGTTTGTCGTTTCTGGTGTGTTCTTTGTTGTTTAGGGTTCTGTCGTGCGTGTGTACCACAGCTACAAGAGAAAGAACGTCCGAGTAGATTTTTAGAAAATTCAAAATACATTAATTCCTTTTTAAATAAGATCCAGAATTAACCCAACTACTTGCCAAATGCATCCCCTGGTGACTATTTCGTATCTTGCTTTATCAATATAGAGGTGCTTAATTGGCACTTGGGTATGATCAGTCCTTCTACTTCATTTCATTCAATGTCATAATTTCAGCAGAAAGGAGGGGGTTTTTTTTGGGGTTTTTTGGGGGGGGGGGGGGGGGTAGTGACTCATAGTGCGTATGTACTAGGGGTTCTAGGCCATTTTCAAATTTAAACAAAAAATTTGTTTCTTGAGGTACGACAGTTTTGTTCCCTATGAACGTCTCTTTAATTAACACCTGTGTTAAGAGAGTTTTCACCCCACCCCCACCCCACCCCCTTGGCTTAATCGTACTTCAAATGGACATTGAGTCAGATGTTCCTCATCTTCATCTTTAGGCTGTTGTTTAGTGCAGAGTCGAGAAAAATTAACTGATTTTTTTAAAAATATGACATGAAATAGAAACCAGTATAATCCAATTCATTTTTTCCCCATTATAGTTTCTATTTTTCTTAACCTTATCTGTACGTCGAGTTTTACTATGGTATCCATACGACGTGGGGAACTCTGCCACCACTTTCCATAGAAGAAATTTACTAATTAATCCGATCCGTACACTCAGCAGAGCAGTCTGTCAAAATGATTTATTATTTTTTTAGAAATACTGGAAGTTTCAAAGAGATCTTCGTACTAGCAT